TTATTATCGATTTTTACCATAAAGTTTTTAATATACTTGGAAGAAAAATTCATAGAAAATTAACCTGTGATAAAACTCTCATCAAACTTCAGTTTTTTTCAGATACTTTCACCTTTAATACGAAGTAGTACCATTATGCTCACTACTTTGTTAACAAGTTGTATAGATTTTCTTTGAATTGAACTAAATTTTGTATTTCATTATGGTTTTCAGAAAGTTCTGCAACGTTCTGTGAAGTAATTGTGGAAGAGAGTGCATAAAATTTAAAACTTTTTGTTCAAAAAGTGTTGAAAACTTTACTGAAGTAAAACTTACTCAACTGAGAAAGCGTATGAACAATGCGATATACATATGAAATTTTATTTAAAAAAGAAAACATGTATATGCAAATATTTATTTAAATATATGAAAGCAGAGCGACCATGCTTTACTAAAAAATTTTTCATTTTTAAATTAAAAATAATTTATAAACTGCTAGAGAACATTTCATGCTTATATACAAAAAATATAGTTAAATAAAATTTTAGTAAGTTTTTCACGAATTTTCTTTTAACAAATTTTATTATATTATTGTGGGGAAAAGTTGTGAAATTTAAAATGTACGAAGCAACAAAATAGAGTTTAAGTTAATTTTTAAACAATCTCAAGACGTTAAATTTTTGTTTTTTCTTTAAGTTGTGAAGGTTTTCCAAAGTAGTTTCTGTTAATGCGATAAGTATAAAATTTATTAATTAAGTGGGTTTTTAACAAATTATTAAGAATTATTATACGGTATTAATTATTATAAATGATTGCTTATAACAGGCAATAGTATTTAATAAGAACTACTAAGAGTACTGGCGTACGATTTCAGCAGTACTGGATGTTTTTATTTCAATATGTAGTTCACAAACAAAAAAAAAATAATTTCATTATAGTAGAGTAAAATGAAACAAAGAATAAAAATTGGAAATGAAAAATAATTAGAAAATTAATGGTATTGTATTATGTTATCCTGTGCTAGGCAAGATTGCTATAAAATAAAAATAATCTAGTTAACTAGAGATTCAATTTCGGAGTGAAAAACAATAAGTTATGAGCTTATATAGTTCCCTCAAATTATTCCAACTCCAATATATACTCATTTTTTAGGCAAGAAAGTCAGGATATATAAATGACTTAGTAAAATAGGCACTTAATCTCTAAATAATAGTTAATAACCTACAAGCTTATATAAATCACCTAAACTAATTACATTTTGATGCATACCCATATGCCTAGCAAGATTACTATGAGATATTAATGGTCCACATAAATAGGGAACCTTGGAGTGAAAGATAATAAGTTACAAACTTAGATCAGTCTCTGAAATTATTTATATTGTAATGTGCAAGAAGAAAGGAATTAGTTTCCAAGTGAAAGGAATAAGCTTATTTTTAAGATTTTTAAGATAACTAGAAAGTACTAACAACAGAACAATTCAACTTTTGGAATATGTTAATTATAGATTAATAACAAAATAATAATAAAAAAATACTAATTAAATAATAATAAAATAATAACGAGGTTAAAATAACAAAACACCGTAATATAATTAATGTTATAAAAACAAGCTATGGGATAACTAGATAAAGGCTTGATTAAATATTGCACAATTTGAGGAAGTAATGTTTTGAGGTTCAAAATGTTAGCCGAAATCGGAAGTTATAGAAGAGTGACTGTATATATAATTAAGAATAATTAATTAGGGTAAATATTAACCAATTATTAATGATTTTTTATTACACTAAAAATAATTGGTTATCAATGATGTTGAACTCATGTGTATACAGATTTTATTATATATAGAAGTCTAATTCAATATTTATAGAATCTGAATCATTGATAATTAATTGTTTTTTTTAGTGTCATAAAAGTTCAGTATTAGTTACGTTATTAACTATTCTATTTTCACGTCAAATATTTTTAACAAAAAAAAAAAATGCAAGTCGTTAGTAATTTTAAAAAACAACCCATTAAATGTTTTTGTCCGAAAATATATCAGATCCGTCAGGAAAAATGTACATGTACTGTTATACTATCGAGAAACTGTAAACACAAACAACAATTTATAAATTTAAGTATAACCAAGCATTAGTGAATGAAGAATGCAATATTTAACATTATCTTGCCACTTTAAGACGAGGTAAGTGACGTGCATTTATAGCATTTTCTGCAGGTGCAACATGCATTCCAACCGTAATGAAGTAATCTAGAATGCAGAGCCAAAGTATTTTGTGACAAAGCCATACAAATATCTAAACATTTATCAACACAAAGACGCAAATTCACATACATATACAACGATACAAACTACAAAAAAAAAAAAATATATGAAAATATCTGATATTTGTGCTGTTTTCCTCTCAGTTTATTTGCATTTGTACAAAAGTGTGCTTGGTTGGGTTGTTTTATTTAACTTTTTGTTGGAAATTCTGGTTGCAGCACGTTTTGCATAATATTTCATGGAAGGTGTGCGTCTGTTGGTTTCTGAAATCCTTGAACCTTAGCTGTTGGTTTTTTACTTCACTTCTTTCCCAATGCTGTTGATGTAAGTTTTTACAGACAAGGAAGTAGGCAAATACCCAAGTGAACCAAGTGCAACACACACAATTGGGTTAAAATGTGCTCAATGACTCAACGTGACACATGACCGCAATTTAATGCCATCAACCGTACAGGCAGAAGGCATAAAAGGATACGTTTACAACTTCAAATACACAACTAACTACTGATATTTTTATACTCGCATAGTATACGAGTATATACGTATATGCATATATACACAAGTATGATGAATATATAATAAGGAATAATTTTAGTTTTTGCATATCTGTTATTTGCATATAAATTGTGTGTGAAATTTTAGCACAGCTGACAGTACTTTTCATATTTTATTCTATTTTACACTAATTCCTTGTGGAAAAATTGATTCAATTCTGCTTGAGCAGTTGAGCAGAGCACATAGTAGAACATATTCTACTTTCTTTCGTTTTCACTAAAATTAATAGAAATTTTATTCAATTCACATTTTAAAGCAATAAATTTTCGAAGAATATAAGCAAATCATAAATGCAAATATTTTTATCACACAACATAGGTATGCATGCAATATATACTGGCATTCATATAAGCAAATTAATATTTATAAATTTTTGATTTAATAAAAATTTATTGAAGTTTTAAATGCATTTAATCTCTTGACTTTTGCTTACTTTTCAAAATTTATTGGTAAATATTCATAAAAATGAACAAAACTGCAGTACTGAAAGGATTTATTTGCAGTTCATGCAACAAAAACGAAATATTTCAGTATTTATTTTTGTGGGTGTCGAATTCATGTGAAGTATTAAGGTTCTTCAATTTAAATTTATGTTTTTATTTAAGCTGAAAATTTCATTTTTATTAGACGTTAAATATGTTTAAACAAAAAGTCCTTACACAAGCAATCAACTTTACATTTTATACTTTTTTTATTGACGATTTAAGCGTAACTCTCTTTATTTCTGATATAATCTTATTAAAGGCAATTAATACTTTCAAAATATAATTTCTTCTTTAATCAAACGTATTCATTTATAAATAATAGCTTATATATGTTTTCAATTAAATAAGAATAATTTGTGTGTAATGGCACAGCAGTTTAGTTACGTAAATTTTATTATTTTTTTTTTTAAACGAACTATTACATCCCACAACAACTAAGAGAGTGTTCAATTGCTCTAAAAATCATCGATGTTTTTATTAAAAGCTCTAGAAATATTCATACCATACAAAGATTCTAAAGATCTCACGCAGAACAGAACGCTCACTGCTGCTTTATTATTATTATGTTATAGCGTTCATACCTCTCCGCCATTAGAGCGTAAGCTTTATCAGTTGTGAGAGAAAGAGAGTTTTACATTTAAATTGCTTAATGAGCTCATACTAGCACCTATTGGCAATGCTTATTCGTCGTCTTATTTACAAACATCCAAACGTCGTCTGACGTCGTTCTTGTTTGTTACGGTGGTGCCAGAATAAATGAAATTATTCAATATAATCTATATATATAATTTGTTTTGTCTACATTCACCACCAAATCCACATATGTAAATTCTTTTTTTGATAGGAGCGGCACATCACAATAGCAATGTCCTATGAAAAATGCCACATTTATTAATTATTGTGCCATTATGGTGAATACCTGTCATGTGCATGATTATTTCTCTGCAAATGGTAGGGGATCAACTTGTCTGAAAGTTTGAAGAGAATCGATTCTTACTTCATGGAGCTACGGATACTGCGTAACGTATAAGCTCTGCTGGCATACTGAGCTTAGATTTTGCGACGTAAACGTGATATCTTGTGGGGCTATTAAAGGGCTACAGTTCTTTTTCTGACCAAGTAGCAAATAGGCAATGATTGGTTACCACACATTTGACACATTTGATAATTTTAAAAATAATTATTTGAAAACGTTATATGCGAGTGGCAGTTATTAAAATAATCTATTCGAGTTACTCGATTATGAACAAGTCCTTGCCATAGCCATATAGTCATAATATTCGAGATTAAAAGCATAATCTTTACTATCTTTTCTTTCTTCGTAGGTTTAAAATGCATTAATGAACTCACGTTCTAATTTTTATTTGTTTAAAAGCAAATACTTTACTTTAGAGCAAATTAAGCTTCAGTAAGGATTCCACGTAGCTTAGAATCTTTCTACTTTTATAGGAAATTATAATAATAAGTTTAAGTGAATCCTGAAAATTATTATCTAACTTAACCTAACTTATCTTCTCAAAAATATATAGAAAATATAGTTATAATAAAATATAACTATATATAATCATAATATAATATATATAATATAATATAATATAATTATTATAATATAACTACATATTATATATAATTATAAAATATATGTATATATATATAAACATATATATCTCTCTGCTATTTAAAAAAAATTAAGTTTTATATTAAATTAAGTTTACCTCGATCCTGTGCAGTGAGTAGTGATGACGAAAGCGTTTGTTTTAGTTTACCAAAAGTCCCTCCACTGTCAGGTGCATTCTGTGTGGATGGCGTCTCATCGGTTGCCACCATCTAAAAATGAAGAGAAGATAAAGTGAATTAAGCAAAAAAAATAAAAAATGTAAGCAATTAAATTGAAATTGAAATTGAATAAAGTTGTAAAAATGCATCAATTTAATTAAATTTGCCAAATTGCCAATGAAATGTTCATAAAAAATGCCAAAAGCAACCATTTATTTGATATGCCGAAGTACATAAAATTTACAATGTGCTGATATCAAAAGCACTAAGAGGAGCCTTGATGACCGAAGTATCTCTAAAATTGTGGTTAAAGGTGGCACATTGATATACAGTATTTGTGCATATACTCGTACATACCCACACATTAGCTGTGAAATACTTTATTCGAGTCATAAAGCAACAAGCATATATACAAGATAGCCGTCTTTATAGATACTAACAACATTTTACGATGCAATAATTCAGCTTAAAAATTAGAAATGAAACGAATTTATATGAGTTGTCAGTCAACGAAGTATCGTAGCAAACTCATACCACAGCCATCAGTGTTTTCACCTTTCACTCTACGAAAATTCACTTCAATTGCTTTGCTTTCTTGTTTAAATTTGAATTTTCACTCTAAGCAAAATGGCAAAGATATAAATTTGAATGAAAATCAATTTTCAATTTTCACAAAAGCAAACTAAAATAACCGAATCAGAACACGTTTCCAATGATTTGTCAGAATTAGAAAAGAAATAAAAAATCATTTCCTTTTTTGTGAAAATCTACTTTCTTCAATTGCAGAACAGGAAAATATTGTATTTCGCAAATGCATGACATTGGCAGTTTTTGTTCAGATTTAGTTACGGATGCCTACCAACTCTTTTTTTAAATGGTTAAGCACCCACAAGTAACACATTTTCTAAATTGTGGCTTTTGATTTTTGTCTCTATCTCTCTCATTCCCTCCAACAACATCATCTCTTCACAGCGTGTAGGTGTAAATGGCAGCTTTTGTATATTTAATTTTAGTACACAGAACTAGCAACAAATTACTGTGCAGTCATAAAAGTGACAGAAAAAAAATTTCTACATGAAAAATTCTGCATGTCCTTAACCGACGTTGCCGTTGAGTTGTCAACATTTTATGAAGTGGAAATTTCCCATTTGCAAAATTTTCTGCATTTATCCTCTAATACATAACAAATTAGAAGGTAGCAACAGTCTATAGAGAACCGTAGTACAGGAACTACAAGGACGAATTACTTTAAGTGCAAAATAAAAAAAAAATTCACAAAAATGTGTAGAAAATTTTCAAAAATAATTTCATGTCTGTTTTGTGCAATATAAACGCAATGTTAATCATTTCCGTCATATTCGACGGCAGCTAAAAGTAAACCGAAAAGAGCAATTGCAACATTTTGAGTTTTTCGTTGCCTACTTGTAGGCACTTAAGCATTTCATTTTTGGCAAATATTTTATGCATAAACTTGTGCCGTTTCGTAACTGTTGCTGTACCTACCTTACCTTTTCGCAGACAATCAGCCACCGACAAGCGGGTAGTATTATCATTATTATGCGCCTATTTACCTCTTGGATTTATGCCAATCTGTGTTTTGCTTGGAAGTTAGCAATACACGCGCAGAGCTCTTTGAGTAACGTAAATATAAAATTTAAATAGTTTTTGATCTTTTACTAACTGAACTGTTTATACTTAAGTGCTATGATTGTGAGATGGTATAAATATTGTAAAAATTAGTGGTGTATTTCCTCATCTTTAGATTTTATAAAGATTTCCTTTTTTATCTATTTTTTTTTTATATTTATTTTTGAGATGAGATGCCAGGTGCTTTGCTTTTATTGTTATTTATTTTTTATTACTCATCCATATGCTATTTTACCAAAATAATTATTACAGTGTTAATTTCATGGTAAAGTAGAAAAAAGATAATAATAAACAAGTTGATAAAATGAACAAAGGAAAATTATTTTGGTTTTATTTGACAATAAAATTTATTTTGAGTATTATTAAAAAATTAATACTCAGGTGTCTATAAAGTCTATAAAAATTTATGACAATAAGTTTTAAATCGAAAATAATGCTTCGAATATTAGAATTTATATGATTATAAGGTCCTTTGCCATTGAAATCTTTATGTTTGTTTTTTTCTTTTTTGGAATAGGAATTTATACCAAAGAACTAGCACATCGGCTATATATATGTGACGAATTTGGTAGTATAAGATATATAATAAGATAACATTTTTATGTTGTCAAATTATAATGTTGAAATTTAGTTCAAATCGGTTTGAATCTTAATTTAAAGTAAAAAACTAGTAAAATAATAAATAATGTCTAAAGCAATATTTTTGCTTCTTCGCAACACACATAAAAGAATTTAATATCATTTGCTATATATATTGAATTTAAACGTTGTCATAGTTGTATCAAAAATTTTTATTTTGTTGTATCACGAATTATTAAAATATAGAGTTCAAAATAAAATTATTAAAATAAAAAATTTTTTGACATAGGTATATTATTGCACATATAACAATACATTTAAAAAAAGTCAACAGAGTTAATATTATTTAATTTCATCATTCAAGATGGCTGCGGCACGATCTACTTTTATATATCTCTACACGATTAGTTGCTTATTGAATTATAAAAGCTTACCAATTTCTGTCAAGGATATAGCAAACTATACGGCCTATTATTTATTTGCATTCACTTGTAAGTCATCTTTTAATTGATCGTCTATCCACCCAGTTACATTTAATCATTTAATTAATTAACAGTTGCTTTTCTGGACTACCAACTTGTATCAGCTTATGCTAGTTTAAAGGTTCACTTATAACTTGTAATCATATAATATCGGGTTAGATGAATTTAAATTATTACACATATATTATAATAATATAGGATGAATACTAAAACAGAAAGCAAACACAAATAAGAGAAGTAAATGAAGTATTAGTCATGAATATTCAGGAGCACTCCATCTTGGGAGATAGGAATTTAATTTCTAAGGAATTTAAATTTCCAGGAATCTAACTTTTCAGGAATTAAACTTCTCAGGAATTGAACTTCTCAGAAATTGAACCACTCTTTTTATATTCACAAAAAGTGTTAACACCGTATGACGCCTATTAGAACTATATACATGCAAATATGCAAATAAGGAAATAATACTAAATGCAACCGGCCAAGAAATCTTTGCGTGACTTTAAGCCAGGCAGATCAATGTAACCTAACCTAGGAAAAGGTAGTAATAATTGTGAACATAAATTGTATATATATACATATTATTGCATAGTAGTAGAAAAAAATAGTAGTACTTATGTCAGTGTCTAAATTAGGAATATATGCATTTCCACATTTTTTCATTTATTCAATTTTGTTATGATATTTTAGATATGAGTATTTGATTCCTAAATTACTATAAGGTAATATTCGATTGCTATTAACTGAAACTCTAAAGTGGAAGAAATATAATATTTTAGGTATATAGGTATAAACGAAGATATCTTTTCTTTTCTATCCAATTCTTGTTACTAATATCTGTTCCCGCAATATTTTGACTTGAATATTTTGACCGCAATATGTTGACCAGGCTTTGCACTAGGTCAACTACGAGATACCCAATATAGGTCAAATATTGAATACTATACACTTTAAAAAGTCTGCATTTTTTATTCTTCAAAAGCAAATAATTGAAGCACTGATTGCGGAATCTTGAACTGGGTAGTTGCATTCACTTATATATGGTTTCGTAGCAGTCGTGAATACTTCTACAAATTTTATCTAGTATTTAGTGATACAGAGAAATTTGAGTACCTGCCATAAACTACTGTCTGTTTATTTATAACATTAAAATAATATTTTTAAATATAATTCTTGAATAATATTTATAATATTTGTATAAGAGAAACGGAGGTTCAAATTAAAATACATGATGTTACATATATTCGAAAGCTCTCGCAAAATATATACAACTAATAATTCTTGCAACTGAATCATTTTTTTTAATTCAGACGTACGAATTTTTATCACATAATACTTATTACTCAGAAATTTAATATTTGACTCTTGAACGGATAACAAAGTTGACAACCATAAAATTAAAGTATCACCACAATATTAATTAGTGACATTAATAATAATTAATATTTACATATGTGATTAAAGTGCTTTAAATAAATCATTTGAATTTTAAAATATTTTTATTTCATTGTGTTTGTGGTTAACTTAACCAATAATAATTAAAATGAATATTTATTGATTTATATAATTAAAAAAATAGAATTTTTTAAAAATTCAGTAAAAAATGTGCATAAAAAAATTATAGCATAAAATATGAATTTAACTCATAATTAAAATATTATAAAAAATATTTAAAATTTATAAATTTAAAAAAATTTAAAAGTTATTTAAGCTGTTTAATTAATTTCAGTTTTACCAAAAAAAAAAAATAAAAATAGAAACAAAATAAAAAAGTACAAAAAGATGAGATAAATAATTATTCTGCAATATTCCGATAGCCTTGGCAAAGAGTGTTGTGGTTTATTTGAATTGGGCAGAGAGTCATGCAAATTTATTTTTATGCCAGGACATGAAATTTACAATGTCCGCTTATGTTTGTGGCAACAGGATTTGCTTATGCAAAAATTTTTATCACAATTTGCATGTGGAGAGCTGCGTCAACAAGTTGTTGATATGGTCTCGAACCCTTGAAAGCAAACAAAATCTGGTGTCACATGAAATGCATTTTTATGAGCTTAAAGTGCAGTTGCGTGCTAGGAAATACAAATTTTGGTTTTTTGTCCTCCATATACTTGTGGATATATGTAAATGTTAGGTATTTAATTATTATTATTTTTATTACACACATAAATCCTTTTGATAACTTTTCAAGTCTTTTTGTTTAATTATATTATGTTTTTCTAAGGGTTTAAAGTGCCAGTGTATTGCAAAAAAGTATTTAATATTAAATATTGTATTTAATGGTATTGAATATTATATTTGATATTATATAAAAAATGTCAAAAGTAAGTTAAGTATTATATA